GGTTAATTTTAAAGTTTTTTGAATTTTTTGATGAAAATTTGTTAAAATAAGTATTAATAACATGTGTAAATATAAATTTAATGAAGATGTACCATAGAAAAGTGACAATTGTCATAATCGTTCTTTTTAAAGTTTTTTGAATTTTTTTGACGAAAATATGTTAAAATAAGTATTAATAACATGTGTAAATATAAATTTAGTGAAGATGTACCAATGAAAAGTGACAATTGTCATAATCGCTATTTTTAAAGTTTTTTGAATTTTTTGACGAAAATATGTTAAAATAAGTATTAATAACATGTGTAAATATAAATTTAGTGAAGATGTACCATAGAAAAGTGACAATTGTCATAATCGTTTTTTTTAAAGTTTTTTGAATTTTTTTGACGAAAATATTTTAAAATAAGTATTAATAACATGTGTAAATATAAATTTAGTGAAGATGTACCATAGAAAACTGACAATTGTAATAATCTCTATTTTTAAAGTTTTTTGACGAAAATATGTTAAAATAAGTATTAATAAAATGTGTAAATATAAATTTAGTGAAGATGTACCAATGAAAAGTGACAGTCATAATCGTTAATTTTAAAGTTTTTTGAATTTTTTTGAAGAAAATATGTTAAAATAAGTATTAATAACATGTGTAAATATAAATTTAGTGAAGATGTACCAATAAAAAGTGACAATTGTCATAATCGCTATTTTTAAAGTTTTTGAATTTTTTTGACGAAAATATGTTAAAATAAGTATTAATAACATGTGTAAATATAAATTTAGTGAAAATGTACCATAGAAAAGTGACAATTGTCATAATCGTTATTTTTAAAGTTTTTGAATTTTTTTGACGAAAATGTGTTAAAATAAGTATTAATAACATGTGTAAATATAAATTTAGTGAAGATGTACCAATGAAAAGTGACAATTGTCATAATCATTATTTTTAAAGTTTTTTGAATTTTATTGACAAAGATATTTTAAAATAAGTATTGATAACATGTTTAAATAAAAATTTAGTGATGATGTACTCTAGATAAGCGACAATTGTCATAATCGTTATTTTTAAAGTTTTTTGATTTTTTTTGACGAAAATAGTTAACTTGCATCGATATTGATTTTAAAATAGAAAAAAAAGTTTACCCAAATTTTAAACAAGATTGTCTGGTGAAAATTGGTAAAAAAATAATAATTTCTAACTTAGGATTAGATATTATGATATAAATTTTGCATATTAATTTCTGACCCGATGAACAAATGTAATAAAATGCCAATTTGCTCCTGTTTTTGGGGAAGAATCTATTATTACCATATGTTTTTCTATGGCATATACTCAGGCAATTTTAATTTTACAATCTATATTTTTATCCATTTACATCAAAGAAATTTTAAAAATAACGATTATGACAATTGTCACTTTTCTATAGTACATCTTCACTAAATTTTTATTTAAACATGTTATTATTACTCATTTTAACATATTTTCGTCAACAAAAATCAAAAAACTTAAAAAATAATGATTATGACAATTGTCGCTTATCTAGAGTACATCTTCACTAAATTTTTATTTAAACATGTTATATATACATATTTTAAAATATTTTCGTCAAAAAAATTCAAAAAACTTTAAGAATAACGATTATGACAATTGTCACTTTTTCATTGGTACATCTTCACTAAATTTATATTTACACATGTTATTAATACTTATTTTAACATATTTTCGTCAAAAAAATTCAAAAAATTTTAAAAATAACGAATATGACAATTGTCACTTTTCATTGTCTTCACTAAATTTATATTTACACATTTTATTAATACTTATTTTAACATATTTTCGTCAAAAAATTCAAAAAACTTTAAAAATAACCATTATGACAATGTCAATTTTCTATGGTACATCTTCACTAAATTTTATTTAAACATGTTATCAATACTTATTTTAACATATTTTCTTCAAAAAAATTCAAAAAACTTATAAAATAACGATTATGACAATTTCACTTTTCTATGGTACATCTTCACTAAATTTTTATTTAAACATGTTTTTAATACTTATTTTAACATATTTTCTTCAAAAAAATTCCAAAAACTTATAAAATAACGATTATGATAATTGTCACTTTTCTATGGTACATCTTCACTAAATTTTTATTTAAACATGTTTTTAATACTTATTTTAACATATTTTCTTCAAAAAAATTCAAAAAACTTTAAAAATAACGATTATGACAATTGTCAATTTTCTATGGTACATCTTCACTAAATTTTTATTTAAACTTATTAATACTTATTTTAACATATTGTCGTCAAAAAAATTCAAAAAACTTTAAAAATAACGATTATGACAATTGCCACTTTTCTTTGGTACATCTTCACTAAATTTATATTTACACATGTTATTAATGCTTATTTTAACCTATTTTCTTCAAAAAAATTCAAAAAACTTATAAAATAACGATTATGACAATTGTCACATTAAAATATTATCCTTAAAAAGATCATATAAAATCATCAAAAAAGTTTCATAAAATCCACCTCATTTAATAAAAAATAGATAATTTTAAAAAAATGATAAAAAAATTATAAAAGATTTTACCTAAAAGATTGTTTATTTATCTAATAAAATTTACAATATAATTCCTCAATAAAAGATGTATTTATAAAGAAGATTGTGAAAATCACTAATAAATTATATTAAAAAGAATATTACAATTTTACAATATAGCAGCATATTATTTTTTTTATTAAAATAACATCATATAAATAAATTTATTTTCATTTCAAAATATAATAATATAAATAAAAAATATTAAATCATATCATGTTTATTTGTTGATAATAATAAAATATTTACATTAAATATAAATGAAATAAATTATTTTACTAAAATATTAGCCGATTTTTAGGCTTAGGCTAATAGGCTTAGCCGATTTTTAGGCTTAGCCTAATTAGGCATAGCCGATTTTTAAGCTTAGCCTTATTAGGCTTAGGCGTAGTTTTTAGCCGATTACGCAACACTAACTGAAACCATATCGAAACATGCTCAAAATATTTATTCTATCTTATTTAAACTAAAAATTTTATTAAAAGTTCTGAGATGAGTATTATGACAATTCTCACTTTTATAGTTTACATTAAATATCAATACATTAAAACTATGTCAAAACATTTTTAAAATAATCTACTTATTTTTAATATTAAAAAAATACAAAATGTTATGACAATCGTCACCTTTACAGATATTTTATTATCACTGAAATTCTTATTTTACTAATTTTAGCTAAAATTATTTTTAAAGGTTCTGTGATGATTTTTATGAAATTGCCACTTTTATAGTTTACATTAAATATAAAACATTTCAAAATTATGAAAAAACATTTTTAAAATATTCATTATTACTTATACCAAATATTAAAAAATATACAATGAGTATTATGACCAATTCTCACATTTACAACTTATTAGAAAAAAAAAATTTTAAGATCACAAAATAGAATAAAAGATTTTACCTAAAAAATTTTATTTAAGAAATAACAAAATATTTGCTAGACCAAAAATGTTTTGTAACATCAATAAAGATTTCATCACAAGAGATTTTATTATATTATAAAATTCCCGAGCAGGCTAAAAAATAATTTTTGAGAAATATTTTTGCACATTTGGATCTTCAACGATTTTAGCCCAAAATTTTGGACGAAAAAACATCTTCAAATTTTCAATTTGTTAAACCCTGGATATAATATAATACACTCAAAGTTAGGCAATGCCGCGAATATTTGTATCTAAGATACAAGATCTTTTGTGTCTTGTACTCGGTATGTTTTTGACATTTTAAGCAAGATACTTGTATCTGTATCTAAGATTCTTTATTAAGAATCTTGAATCTCTTTCATTTTCTTGAGAAAAGATAGGTGCTTTATTAAATATTTTTGCTTATAATATTTAATGATCACATTTTTCTGGATTATTGTATTCATTGTTCTTGCTTTCCAATCGTCATATCTTAAAAGTTAGGTAAAATTTACGCACAACCAAAATCAAATTGAACATTAAAACAAAATAAGTAGAATAATTTAATATATTAATCTAACTGAATAGAATATTGCTAACAACAATCACTGGAGATTCTAAAGAAAACTCATATCCTAGACAAAGATCTCTCGAGATATATGGAACTAATTTTATCTCCATCCTAGGCTCTATGCCTGGACTTTAACCTTCCGCCCCTCCCCGTTTCTTAATATTATAGTTTATATGATTTTTAATATATATTTTTAAAAAGTTTACTTCCTATAAATTTATTATATATTTTTAAAAGTAAAGTTTTAAATATAGCATAAAATTTAAAACAATTTTAAAATAACACGAAAAAAAAATCATGTAAACAAACATAAAACAAGACAAATAATAAATAATATATTTAAAAAAACATATAAAAGGAAGTGGGAAAAAAGAGGCTCTGATTCGGAACACGGATTATTCATCTCTATAAAAAAAATACTAGTCTACCAGGACCCGCTAAACTCTGAGCATATACTATATTATATTAAGGGTAGTATATTTGTGGATCAAAAAATTGATTTGAAATTTCTTAAATATTCGTTTAACCTTTTTATTATGCGACAGACAGCCTCGGAACCAGGGTCTGGACCCGAATAGCTATATTTAGCAAAAATTTATAAACTGGAACTTAATCGAAAACCGATTTTCTAAAAGATATCCCAGCCCGGGTCCATATTACCCCGGGTTAGATGGGTTGCCCATAAATCGGCCTCTGTTTGGTCTGTGGTCTCAAAATTCCCCCCAACCAAACAATTCTGAATTTCGGATCCCGAATTCCGGTCCAGAACCCTGCGTCGGAACCCTTGTCACTGGGACCGGTTATCAATATTCACCAAAAATTTGTCTCATCAATGATAAGTTATTATTATAAAATATAAAATAAATTTTTTTTGAAATTAATTAAACTTTAAAAAAAAATCAAAATAAATATTATTTACCTATAAAATAAGGAATCGTTAATATCAACACTAAATGCGCCATATTGAAATAGATTATACTAGATTCGTATTGTATTGGATAAAGACTCCATGCTGACAGATAATCCCAAGCTGATACAGTTGTCAAGACTTCCCCCTAAAGTAGTTTTTATTTTTTTAAAGAAACGCATAATTTACATTTGAATTAATATATATATATTTTTTAATATAAGAAAGATCTTAACGCCTTGCATAGTAATGGTGTTAAATCGCACCGCGAAAGCCTGCTTCAAAGGCCTGCGCGTCAAGGCTGAGCGATGAAAACAAAACTCATGAACAATTTGCTGGTCATGAGGATTTCACTTTATTGTTATATAGAATTTTGGGTTAATGGATTCCTAAAATAGTTACTTTGAATTCATTAGATGATATATAATTGGGAAGTGATAAGAGTTTGATTTATTGAGTTATCAATATCAATAAAATCTATGTTTTTACGTGAAAATTTAGTATTCTAGTAAAAAAAATATTATTATTTTTAATCTTCTCCTATTCAAGATCATTTTGTATAAAAATAATAATTTGATGATGGATACCATTTTGAATTAATATACTCGCTTTGCACTGTGAATGAATATAGCTGCGATAGAATCGCTCTTTACTATGAATAATCTTAATATTAATAAAGAAAAAGAGGGCGAATTTTATAACAGCTTTCCTAAAATCTTGAAAAATAAGGCTAAATTTTATAATTATATGAGAATGACCAAAGTATTTATTAATACTATTTCATATAGGAAACTTTTTATTACATATTAAAACATATAAAAGGTATCCTTACACAACAAGAGACATATAATTGATATTGTGCACAAGTGGAATATGCATATGGTATCTTAAGAGCTAAATGAATGATCTTTGATCGTTCTATGGATATGAAATTACCACTTACTGAATATATCATACAAACTTGCACATTATTACATAAATTATTATTGATAAGGAAAGATTTATTACTTTTAATCCTAAAAAAAATCATCCCCTGTAAATTTATTTAAGCAACAATCTATTAAATCATTGTCAAATATTGTAAAGCATAATAAGATATGCTATATAAATATCCTAGGTTACTGCCACTCTCGTGGGGGGGGGGGGGGGGGGTATATTATTTTTATTTAATTTTTTTTGTTATTTTTTTATGATATTTGCATACAAATTTAATTTTTTTTGTGGTAAAATATTTAAATTATTTTTATAGGAGAATTTTGCCTACAAATTATATTTTTTATTTAGGTCTACAAATTTTTATTGACCCCACCTTTGAAGTTTAAGTGATTTTTAACCTTTCTATTGAAGGGTTAAATCGAAATAGTATTAAATGACGCAATTAAATATAGTATTCAAATTTATACATGATATATAGTATTAAATACTCAATTTTATTCATTGAATTGAAATATATTATTAAAGTTAATACAATCATTTATAAAATGAATAAAAATATAAGAACGATTTAACATTTTATATTTTCTAAAATATCTATATTCAAAAAGATATTCATGAATATTATCGCGATCCCCATGTCTTTTGAAGTTTGTTTTTAGATCCAGCCACAGCCTTTCGACTTTTTGGGTGTGGATGGATCTGTCATTAGGATCAACAAAATTTCGAGAATGATTGACCCGATAATGGAAATAATTAGCTTGTTCTAGCCTATTATATCTAAGATAAATAGATTTAAATTTTTTACCACTTTTGATTTACAGGAAAAATATATTTGCATACCCTAACCACGAGTCAGTAATTATCGTCGAATCTTGCATCACATTATCTTTAACCACACGCAGTGTAGTATCTTGATCCCTTGTTGTTGTAGCAGTCAGAAAAACTTCATTAGTCTCCCGACATATGCCACCAATATATACTTGTTGCATTTCCATAATGAGGGTAGAAAAAAACAAGAAGAGCTTGCGATACCGATGCAATAGGTGTCGTAGATCACATTCGATATGGAAAGGTAATATTAATTTTGATATTATAAATGACCAATTTTTAGATTCTATTTTTGAAGGGATTCGGGACGTTGGGAAATTTTTAAGACTAGTGTACTTGCCCATAAGTACTAATTCTTCAAAAAATATTCAAAATATTTTTAGGCCGTTATACAATTTTAAATGCTTCGATAGAATTAGTTTATGATAGGAATGCAATTTCTAGATGGTAATTTAAAGTAAAATATGGTTTTTTATTTCACTTATGTAGGTTCAAAAAATTTCGTAAAGTATGTGAGTTCCATATAGCTTCCAATTATTTAAAGATCGGGGAACCCGGCCGCGTTATTGAAATTGATGAAACTCATGTGTGGAAGCGCAAATATAATCGTGGTTGGCATTTGACCTCCGAGGCTATATGGATCATTGGTGGCATATGTCGGGAGACTAATAAAATTTTTCTGACTACTACAACAAGGGATCAAGATACCACACTGCGTGTGGTTAAAGATAATGTGATGCAAGATTCGACGAAAATGACTGACTCGTGGTCAGGGTTGCCATGTCTCCCCCAATCAGTGGGAGTCTCCCACAATTTTTTAGTTTACCCACATACATCTCACTCCCACAAAACTCCCACAATTAGAAATCTCCCACAAAAAGCTCCCACAATTTTTTAATTTCTCCCACAATTTTTTTTTAGCATTTTAATGTTTCTAATATATAAATAATAATTTTGAGAGACAGTATTTGATTATTTTTATATTTTTAAAATAAATTTTAAATATTTATTCGAAAAATATGTCTAGTTCTTTTTTTTATTTTTCCGCTCTAAAATATATTTTTTATAAAATTCTCCAATTCTCACTCGACATTTTCAAAATTTTTGTGTTAGAAAGAATAGAAGTTAGAACAGTATGTATAATTATTATAAATATATTTTAAATTACTTAATATATTTTATATCGTTATCTAGAATTGCAGTGCTCCACTCGACATTTTCAAAATTTATGTGTTAGAAGAATAGAACTTTTAGAAGTGGATATTATTCTAATCTCTAATTCTTTTAAATAAAGTTAGTGGATGAATAATATTGATTAAATAATATTTTTCACTACTTACTTTTATATTATTCCATAAAGTATATGTCAAGCAAAAGATTATAAATATAATTGATATATTATTCAACAATAGCTCAGTTATAACAAACGACAATCTACCAAATATTATCATTTTAAAAATATGCGTACCATCAGCATATAAAAATTAGTATATGTTTTTAGTTCATATAAATCATTTTTTTAATAAAATAGCACTTTGATAATTAATTTTTCTTTAAATATCCTAACAAAATTGATTATCTTTTTATATTTTATATACTATAGAATCCGAGAAAGTGAATAAAAGAAGAAAATATATATGTAAATATAACAAGTTATGGGAGCAAAAATATGTTTGGTTGATGAGGCTTACGGATAGCCATGCTAAATGTAGAATATGTTCTGCAGTATTTAGTTACTACAATAGGGGGGGGGGGGGAATATGATATTTTGCGACACCAAAAATCGTCAAAGCATAAGTCAGTACAGGGGAGTCTATCAATGTCTATTGCAATACAAAAATATTCTCCAAAAATAATAAATAATACAAATGCAACTACAATTGCGGAAACTGTATACACATATCATGTAGTTCAACATTCACAGAGCTATCTGTCATCACAATATGGGTCGAATCTTTTCCCCATAATATTTAACGGCTCTAAAATAAGTGCTAACTTTACTTGTGGTAGGACAAAAATGAGCAAGGCTATCACAAATGTGTTAGGACCTGAATCCAAGAGGTCAATTCTAGACGATTTGAAAGAAGGACATCCATATGCTATTTTAACAGATGCATCAAATAAGAGAAATATTAAAACATTTCCCCTGATCCTTCGCTATTTCAACAAGAATAAGGGCATTTCTATAAAACTATTGAAATTTTTTTCATCCGATAATGAAAAATCCAACGATATAGCTAACCACATAATGGTAAATATAGCTGATTCAGGGTTATCAATGAGTTGCATGTCAGCTTTCTGCGCTGATAATGCCTCTGTTAATTTTGGCAAAAATCAAAGTGTATTTACCGAATTGAGGCAGCACAATAATGAATTAATACCAATTGGCTGTATATGCCATATGCTGCATAATTCTTGCAAGAAGGCAATGAATGTACTATCTGTAGATGTCGAAGTAATTGTGATGAAATGTTTTAACGAATTTAGTTCATCAACTAAAAGAGTCACTGAATTAAAAGAATTGGTGGAGTGGTCTGATTTGGAATGGTGTGAGTTGTTGCGATATGTACCTATCAGGTGGTTATCATTAATACCTGTCATCGAGAGAATTTTAAAATTTTACGAACCCTTAAAGAAATACTTCTTAAATAAAGATTTTAAAAGCTGTCCTAAAATTTTGAAAATTTTTTTCGAGGATGAAATGTCAGAAGCATATTTGGGATTAGTTTCACATGTAGGAAATCTACTTCATGTAGTTAATAATCAGTTGCAATCAGAAGATTCTTTATTGATAAAGATTCACAAAATCATGCTACAGCTCTGTTCATCTCTACAGTTAAAAATAGATAATAAATTTTATGGCGCTATTGCTAAAAATATTATATTAAAATGTTCAAATAATACTCTAATTAATATATTTTTAAATGAAGCAGATATTTTTATTAAGACAATTTTAGAATATTTACAATCAAAATTTGATTTTAATAACTCTATTTACAAATGTTTAAATATTATGACCTTGGAACAGAAACCATCATTTGATGGTTTTTGTAATTTAATAAATATATTAAAATTACCGATAGACATTGAAGCCTTGTTTGAAGAGATTGTAATTTTTTCCATTTTTTATGATTCGCCAGAATACTTAAAGTTAGATGGTCTAAAAGCAGAGGAGAAATGGGTGGAATTTTTTCGTAATAAAGATAAATCCCCATGCTTGGAAAAAATTTGCGAGTATGTTTTCTCCTTACCTCATCGGAGCGCATTTTTAGCATGATGAGGACTGCCTGGAGAAAGGAGAGAAATCGAATTGCTTTAACAACATTAGAGGCCGAGTTAATGGTTATACAAAATTATAAAATGTCATGCCAGGAATTTTATAAA